CAGCGCTTCGACCTGCATGGGCTAGCACGGTCACCGTGGCGCCCGGCGCGGTCACCGTGGTGACGTGGGGGGTGCACGGTCACCGTGCTTTGGTGCTTTGATCCAAATGAGACTTTTCGGGGGGGGCGTGCAGGTGAGCAGACTGTGTGCATCATTTCACAATATGTTACATGTGTTTTGGTTCAAACACCCATAAAGCACAATCAGTTGAATCAGTCGATGAATTGTTCAGTCATTCTACTCTGACAGCTCTAGGCCCGAAAGAGTTCATGATACGATACCCAGTTTCCTTCTTCGCACCTAGAATCACCAAATTTCCTTTGACTGGATTGCAAAACAGTCTAACTAGCCAGCGACGAGATACATCAACTGGAGTCCAGTCCAGAGTCCACTTGAACATCAAAAAATATGACTTGACCCAGACTCGTGTCTTGTGGTTCTTGACACAGGACTCTCAGCTCATAAACAGTGCAGTTCCAAGCAATCACTGCTGCTAGACTTCTCGACTCTCAGTGTGCTTTGTTTCAATAAGTTATCTTTCTCGCACGCGCGGGTGTTTCAGAGCAGCGAAGCGACATGTGTTTGACGCCTTCGCCTGATCTTCAGGTGACAAACACGACTTGATCTTTTGCTGTTCCTGGCGAGCGTTTCTGCCACAGACTCGGGGGTGTCTTTTGCATGGTCCCAAGCAGAGGGTGTCGTTCGTCATCCATCACCATCCCTCACATTGCACTCTTGAGTATGTTGGACAAACCTGGACATTCCCATGGTCATCTCTGTGGAACCATCCAACGAATCACTTCGTTGAGTTGTCTGCCGATCCAGTGAAGCACGTGAAAGTGAGCTGCTAATCCAGTTATCAAGTTATCACCACGTTTAGCTTGTTGAGTGGGGAAAGGGTCAGCTAATCCAGCTTTCGGTCTCCAGTCTCCCAGAGTACATTAGCCATTGTCTATCATTTCTCTACAACTGCCATCAAAGGGGCCCCTTTGGGCTTTAGAGGCTTTCCAACCAACGGGGACAGCGACCACCTCCATGGTCGAGAAAATGGATGTTGTGCATTGTCTGGGCCCTCTAGCTCTACTTCGGCAACGTGCGTACGATCACTTTCTATCATGGCATTCCTTGACTGATGTTGATCAACATGACAAGATTTCTCGCGCCTCTTCAGGCATCTTCTCAAAAGCCTCTTGGATCTCTTCCTGCGAGCGGATTTGATCGGAACCAGTGCTACAAAAGCATCACTGCAAACACTGCAGGTCAGGAACTGACCTCTTTTCGACACAAAAACATCACTCCAATGTTTGGTTTGACTGGGACCATGGGCCATTGGGCCATGGACCTGGTAGACTGGACCTGGGTGTGCCTCAGTGTACCCTGTAGTGCCCCAGTGATCCAAAAAGATGGAAGTAGGGTGGTTCTGGGGTGCCCAGCCTTCCTGACCCCGAAACTCCTCCGGGCCTTTTCCCGATCAAAAGGGAACGCCTGGGCTGGTCCGTGTTCCGACCGTGTCGGCGACCGCTTCGAGTTCCAAATACGGACCTCGGAACTCGTCCTGCGAGGCATTCTGCAACTGCTCAGAGATGCTGGCACCCGAGCCCATGGTCGAGTCTGACACCTGAAGAAAGAGAGCAAGACGACGCAGGACAGACACACCTTTCGTCGATGCAGAGATGGATCTTGGATTTGCAGAATCATCTTCCCCCAGGGTGGGGGATTTGCCCCAATCCGGGAAACGAACAATCACCTGATTCGGCCATGTTGAACATGGTTTCTCTTGCGGATGAGGATTCACCCATGAACTTGATGCGCCAGTTTTGGCTATCGGTCATCTCGTGTTGGCTCTTTTCTAGCGGTATCGATTGAATAACGCACCTGAGGGAGATCAATAAACGAGCACAGCAAATCACTTGAGGGAGGTTGGGTTTCAGGATGTTTCAGGTGGAGATCAACGATTTCTGATGAAGGGATACCTCTCTTTCGGACGCAGTAAGACCACGGGCTGAGTAAAGGTGACTCAAAGCTTGCAGGAAGACCACGGGCGAAGGGGCACTTCGGGTTGCTACAAACTTCGTTCCAAGGGCCACAGCATTCGGGGGCACAAGATCTACTTGCAATTAATGCATGATCTACTGATTCGATTTCACCAATCTTGGGTGCCCTTGAAGCTGGTTATCTTGGAATGATCACCTCCAGGTATTCCCAAGAGGGCAAGCCTCTCTATAGCTGCCCTTCTTGCTGGTGAGCGAACGAGAACTCATTGTCTGATCCTCTGATCATGGTCAAACCGTGTATTGGATTTAGGCCGAAGATCTTTTTGGGAATCTACAGGAATCATGGGTTGAAGGATTTATCAATTGCCTTTGGCAGCACCCCTTTTCTCCCATCATTGCTTGTTGTTCATTTACGACCCGATGGAATTCACAGAACCGCACCCCTTTAGCATGATGTTCAAAGAACAACAACAACAACAACAACAAGGTACAAACAAAAACTGCAGCCCCGTTACAAGATATCTTGTTCCTTTGTCTCTACAAGGGGGTGGAAACAAAATCTGCAACCCTGTCGTTGTTATTTTGACCCCTCCCCCGAAAACAACCAGCCAACATGTACTTTTACCAGTAGTGGTAGTGCTAGTACTAGTGCTAGTACTAGTGGTACTAGTACTAGTAGTAGTCGTTGTTGCAGTGGTAGTAATAGTAGTCGTAGTAGTAGTCGTAGTCGTAGTCGTAGTCGTAGTAGTAGTAGTAGTAGTAGTAGTGGTAGTAGTAGTAGTCGTGGTAGTGGTGGTGGTGGTGGTGGTAGTGGTCGTAGTCGTCGTCGTCGTCGTGGTGGTAGTCCGGTCAGCTAAGCCTCTGTAAAACTTCTACTTAGAACCTCTACCACATCCTAGAGACAAAAACTGCAGCCCTGTCGTTGTTTTTTAAGACCCCCCCCCTCAAAAGATGTTGTTGTCTCTACCCCCCTAGAAACAAAATCTGCAGCCCCGTTGTTGTTTTTTGACCCCCCCCCTCCAGAACAGCACCCCAAAAAACATCAAAAAACAAGAGAAACAGGCCAACCAAGACTTGAGTACCACAACGACAAGAAGTCCAACTACTAACATCTCTCCAAACCTCCGACCCTATCCCCAACAGTGTCCCTTTGAAATCCCTGACTTGCAACATGTGACAACTATGTTGGGCAGCTGTTTTTGTCTCTACCAACAACAACAACAGCAACAACAAGGTACAAACAAAAACTGCAACCCCGTTACACCACATCTTCTTTCTTTTTCTCTACAAGGGGGTGGAAACAAATTCTGCAACCCCGTCGTTGTTTTTTGACCCCCCCCCCCAAAACAACCGGACAACAAGCACTTTACTGCTACTACTACTAGTGGTACTAGTGCTACTACTACTACCACCACTACTACTACTACTACTACTACTACTACTACTACTAGTGGTAGACACCCCTCACCCCGGGACGTGTGGACAGTGCGCGGGGCGTGTGCGGAGGCGGAGGGGGTGGAAACCCGGTTCTCAATCTATGCACTGAAAATCAGTCTTTTCTTGGAGACTCCTGGAAGTTTTTGGATTCCAATGGAACAATATGGTCGACTTAAACGCCTTCTTAGGGTCTATGAAACTCCTCTGCGGGTCATGCTACTGGTGATGCTTATTGTAACTGGTTAAGTGAGCCCTGTAAAACTTCTACTTAGAACCTCTACCACATCCTAGAAACAAAAACTGCAACCCCGTGGTTGTTTTTTGGACCCCCCCCCTTCCAAAAGATGTTGTTGTCTCTACCCCCCCCTAGAAACAAAATCTGCAACCCCGTTGTTGTTTTTTGACCCCCCCTCCCCAAAACAACACAACAAAAAACAATAAGCAGACCAACCAAGACTTGAGTACCACAACGACAAGAAGTCCAGCTACTAACATCTCTCCAAACCTTCGACCCTATCCCTAACAGAATCCCATTGAAATCCCTGACTTGCAACATGTGACAACTATGTTGGGCGGCTGTTTTTGTAACAACAACAACAACAACAACAACAACAACAACAACAACAACCACAACCACAACCACAACCACAACCACAACCACAACCACAACGACAACGACAACGACAACGACAACGACAACAACGACCGCCACCACCACCACAACCACCACCACAAAAACAACTTGGTGTGCTCTTGTCACATGCTCCAAAAACCCGCACCACACCGGGCCGTCGCGGAATGATCGTCGGAAAATGCGGTCCCGGCCATGTCGCGGGGTCCGTGGTGACACTTGTCCAGTGGTGACACACATAGGGCCTGGGGAATACCTAGGAAAGAATGAGGTCCCCCCCAAAAAAGAGGATACAGGGTGATCCATGCGGATGTCCTCGTGACCCGAAGTAAGTAGCTGCACCAGGCCAGCGAAAACGGACCCTCGACCCCCGGGAAGGCCTGCGCCGGCGGCCTTTTTGGCGGATCCACGTCTTTGAGCTTGAGCAGTTGCGGGTGGTTCGGCGCGCGAGCAAGTCCGTCGTGTGCGTTTCGTGTGGAATTGGATGAGAGCTTCAATTAGTTGTCGAAATATGGTTCAAATGGACTCTAGCCATTGCAACGCTCACAACTTTGGACACAGACCTGCTCTGCAGCGGCAAAAACTGAATGTTTGGCCAAGAAACAGAAGGTCCGGGATTAGGGTGAATCCGGACTCTCTTAGTAGGTAGATTCGGGTAGATTAGGTGATTACATGTGATTACTGTTGAAAAAGGTCGGCGGTGTCACCCAGGATGGCACAAACACTTGATGCCTTAAAAGCAGAAACTCCAGAGTTTCAAACATGTCCTTGGAGCTCTGGGTGGGACATGATTCTTGCACTTGGAAAGGAGGTTCCTGGCCGTGATTCCCACATCGTTCCATTCTAGGTAGAATCAAAGTCTCACAGACTTTACATGCTCAAAGTCTTTTCATTTCTTCACCAAGACACGGACGTTGCTTCCCCCACATCCCCTCGTCCTGAAGGGCTTCGGTCAGGAAGGTCTTGAGGTCCGTCCTATGGGCGGTCGACAGGTTGTGCGGTTGCGCGGGCGGTCCGAGCGGTCCAGAAAAGAAAACAAGAACTCGAGGGGAGGGAGCTCCACCCATTGTAGTATATAGCGGCTATACTTATATATATAGTTAGCTTCTATTAGGATCTATTAGGCACATGGATGGAAATGGTCTGAATCCGTTTGTGCGCATGAACCCTCCGACATCGGGCGTCCGTTGATCTGGATGGCACGCAGGATCCGATGACCGTGATGACTGGATCTGTGCCGAAGATCGTCATGTTTTCGATGATGTGTGTGGTCATGTGTGCGCCTCCCTTGCGAAGCATGGAGCTCTTTTTGAGCTTCTATTCTTACTCCATCTTCTCCTCGATCTGAAACACCAAGCGAGTTGGAGTTGGATGCCTGCTTCTTCGAGTTTGAAAGCTTCAAGTGCTTCATTGAAAGAAGCTTGCAGCTCTCCAACAAGGTGTTTGTTTCTTGGCCAACTCACAGAATTCTTTGTTGTCACTACTCTTCTACTGCCTCTTTCAATTTCTTCAGGTCTGTAGCAGTCTGTAGATTGCCTCCATCACCGCTTTCTCTAAAGCACCTATATGTTTCGATCACCTCATCATTTGGTCATGAAGATTCTCCTTGGAATGCGAGTGGTCTTTCCCAGACGAAGAAGGCACAGAAGAGGGTGAAGTGGTGGCGAAGGAGGACAGCCATGCTTGCTTTCTACACCCTTCTCCCACAGGACCCTTTCTGCAGTACCTGGACCCTCCAAAGTACCTTACAAAATAGGACATGACTGACATGACCCTATAGAAACATATAGAAACAGGTACGCACGTATGTGCCCACAGTCATGAGAAAACTCAGGTACTTGTTCAAAGAACCTTTGCATGTGACGTGGGTCCTATGGGTCTCCCTCATTCGTCTCCAACGTCCCAACGGCCGCTGCCGGAACGCGAGGTCCCGCGCGCCTGCCATAGGAGGGCGTGAGCTCCTGAAGGTGAGAGGTCATCTGGGTGTGGGTATATAGCGGGTATGGTATAGGACTATAGAAATAGGACTGAACAGGAACTTAGAATGGTATAGGATGGTATACCTTCCTATCCATGGTGTAGGACTGGTATATACAGAATGCTGCGGGCATTCTAACTATAGGGGATGCGTTTGGAACTGCGTTTGGAACTCAAACAGGCATTCTAAGTTCTACTATCTTACTAGGATTTATATACTAGGTATATAATTCGGATAGTATGGGATCCTCAACCTAGGGGTGTAGTAGTGTAGTGGACTTGCAAAATGTGCTCCAATTTTCTGGGAGTAGCCAAGTGTTCAGCTACGGACGGTTCGTGGTGCTCCTCCTTCGTCCGGATGTTCCAAGTGGTGCGCCTTCTGCGGCATGTGTGTAACACCCCCACAAACTTGTCATGTGGTCCAGGGGTGCAGGTTAACATGTGTTCCATGCGGTCGATATGTGGGGTGCAAATTGATTCAGGTCCATGGTCCACGTCGGTCCGGTCCGTGTGCTGGTCGGGCGCTCGGGCTGGTTACAGGTCACGGTGACTTCCCCAATTCTCCTCGCTGTACTTCCCAGTGGCGGGGTCCATGACCTGCGACTCGGTCTTCGGAAGAAAAAGAAAACACGACGTTTTAGAAGATTCACATCCGAAGTGCCCCAAAAAAAAGTGTCCAAAAGAGTTTGGGCACATGAGAACTCCATAAGACATAGGACCCCAAAGTATCAAACGTTACAAGGATGCCAAGCCAGGATTTCACAAAATGCATCAACATGTTAAGAAGCCAAGGACTTCTCTAAGTGTTGTTTCTCAGCCTGAGCCAATGGATCCCCCTTACAGTATTCTGGAGCTATACAGGGTTTTACATACCGACGTGGCCGGGTACCTTGCCAGGATCAGGGGTTGAGAGTGACGGTGGGTTGTGGCCATCCAGAAGCACCCCGCACCCCGCGACGGACGCCAATGCTACCCGTTGGAGACCATGGACCACAAAACGACCTACGACCTCTATGACCTCCGCTTACGTAGCCATCTGCAGGGCGACGCCTCTGGCCTGTATCCATCACTAAGAGGAGATACGTTAGCTTCCCAATTCTTCCCAGAGATTCAGAACGCATGTTTTCACATGGTACACAACGCTTCTTTTACATGTTTAGACATGTGCCTGTGTAAGAAGGTGAAACCTGAAGTTAGTAACTCAGCCTCCCAAAGCCCTTTCGGAAAAGGGACATGCATAACTTCTTCGCAAGGTGCTCAGAAGATTGTAGCTCTGATTTGATGGGGCGTGAGTCGTAGACTCTCACTGACTAACATGCAAGTGAACAATGTTTTTGTTGGAAGACTACTTTCCTCTAGTAACAGGGAGTCTCATTCACTTTTTTGTAGCTATAGTCAGAGTGGGTCATGCCCCAAACCAAAACGCTCCCGGCTCCCGACCAGCATGCTCTGCTCCGCGTAGTAGCGCCCGATCCGCCCATATTCGGCCAGATCTGACCTGATCACATCGTGAAAAGTATCGTGGAAAAACACCTCCGGCAGCTCCGTGATACGGAATCTCAGACATGACCTATGAAAAACTGGTATATACCATATATTTACCTGACAGTTGAAAAGGGGTCCATGGGGTGTTATATATCTCATGGTATTATATGGAGTGTCTCGCAATGGCTACTACTACAGCATATTTTGCTCAAGTATGCTCAAGTAAATCTCTAGTTGAACGGCCGTGCTAAGAACAGGTGCCCAGCAGCGCTTCCGCCCGCCCCCTCCGGTGCCGCAACGGCGGGTCGGGTACAGTGCCAGGGCGACCGGTCGAACGTGTCGAGGTCGTTGCGGACAGTGCGGGTGAACACCGCCCGCCATACCCTTAGTAGATCAGCCTCTTCAGGATGGACAAAGAAATCAGAAGTGCCCCTTCTTTTGGAGTTGGGTTGGAAGCAACATCCAGGTCGAAAACAAGCGGACAGGCCCGAAACCCCATAAACTTGACACCCAAGCCATCCATGTCACTGGCTCATGTACCTACATTGGGGTGGTTGAACATGATCCACGGCGACCATCTCAATGCCAACTGCAGCCCCCCACTGCGAGGGGAAGAGACTCGCGATGAAGTCAAGAATCTCGGTGGCGGCAGTGGTGGTGTTTCCTCTGTGGCCATTGTAGTTGCAAGAAGTGGTTGCCAGTGTCAAAATTGTGGTGACTGCAAAATAGTATTAGCAGGTGTTGTTGCCCAAGTACGAAGGGTGGTGGCGTGGCGGGTGGTGGCGATTGTACAGGAGATACAGGAGGGTCGTTCCAAACTCAAGAACGATCTCTTCGGAACTAAATACCATTATAGGGTCTTTCCTTTAACATGTGGCAATGCAGGACTTGATTCCAAAAAACTGGGAGATTCACGATGTTTCAAACAACATGTAACAACCCACGTATGAACCCCACCCAGTTAAGTCAAGTCATGTTCATGTCAGTAGCGCAGGTGCATGCGTCCACTTCGCCCTGCTCCAAGATTCATGGACTCTCTGCACATGTTCAACTGATTTGGAATGATTTAGACTATATATATATATACGCTATATATATATATTAAGGATAAAAGCAACCTCCAGACATTTTGCTTGCAGGTGGTCACAGCCCTCAATGCGTTCTTTCTGCATCTGAGAGGCTCCTTGAACGAAGTCGAAGACTCCGTAGGGCACGCAGATGAAGTTGGGTTTCTGCCTCAAAGACCGGGCGTCTTCGTAAAGCAACCTCCGACATCTTCCCATTCTTTCGGATCACTGGCCCAGTTCTGTTTGAAAGTTCTCTTACCTGACCAAAAGCGAAGCATCTCCCGTTTGCATCTTCCGTTTCGTTCGCTCCGACTTCTACATCGTCGACTCGTCGCGGGAAGCGGCGAAATGTCTGGAACTGTGGACGACCGTGAGGCACTAACAGAGGCAAGATCGAACATCAAGGTGAACCTTTGGATTTGCTGAACAAAGAACCGGGAATCCGCCGACCCCGGCCTATAGCCAAAGCCTAGGCGGGGAGGCGCCTGGGATTTTGGACTGCCTTCAAACGCTCGCAGTTGGCCAAGCCTAGCAGAACCCTTCCAAGCACTTCCAAAGGCCTGTCCGAGGCCTCGCCAGCTGGCAGGCCTGCTGCGGCCTCTCTGTGGCCTGTCCAAGGCCTGCCTCCTCTCTCGGCAGCTGGCAGGCCTGTTGCGGCCTCTCTGTGGCCTGTCCGAAGCCTGCCTCCTCTCTTCTTATGGGCTTCCGAAGGCGACGTTAGGCATTTTGGACCGCCTTCAAACGCTCCTCGGCAGCTGGCAGGCTGCCTCCTCTCTTCTTATGGGCTTCCGAAGGCGACGTGAGGTATTTTGGACCGCCTTCAAACCCTCCTCGGCAGCTGGCAGGCCTGTTGCGGCCTCTCTGTGGCCTGTCCGAAGCCTGCCTCCTCTCTTCTTATGGGCTTCCGAAGGCGACGTTAGGCATTTTGGACCGCCTTCCTCGGCAGCCGGCAGGCCTGTTGCGGCCTCTCTGTGGCCTGTCCGAAGCCTGCCTCCTCTCTTCTTATGGGCTTCCGAAGGCGACGTTAGGCATTTTGGACCGCCTTCAAACCCTCCTCGGCAGCTGGCAGGCCTG